TCCCCCTCCCTCTAGCCCCTTTAAATATAATTTGTTAACGTTGGGACTTGTATTAATTAAAGCAGCAGCCGCTGCAGCCTGTGACCTGGGGGCTTGTCACCGTGAAATCAAGTTTAAATCCAGATTTCAAGGGGGAAGAGAGCTGGGGGGAGCACTGTGTCCTCCTCGGGAGGCTGACAGTGACAGCTCCTTGCCGGTCCCCGGCCCCCCTGAGCCCTGGGTGGAGCGAGAGGCAGAAGGATCTGCCCTCTACTCTCCAGGGCCTTAGAAAAGAGCCCCTGCCTCAGTTTCCCTGCTGCGCAGTGGAGAGAACGGGCATAACATCCCCCACCCCACCCCGGGATGCCCTGGGAGAAGGTGGCAGGCGCTATGGCTGGCGCAGGACAGGCAGAGGACAAGGTCCTTGCGGCGCTTGGGGCAGGAACTGCTGGGCTTGGGGGGGGTGGTAGCTGCGGACCTGCTTTGCATCTCCTGTCAGCCAGGGCTTGCTTCCACAGCGTGAATGAGTGCAGGAGCCGGGCAGAGGATTTCCCCTCCGTGTAGGCGCTTTGGAGGGATGCATCCCCCTCCACTCCCCTTCTCTCCGCTCCCTCTCAACTTGCCTCTCCTTTTTGGAATCACTGTGGATTTGCACTGGGGCAGACCCACATATCACCCACGGAAGCAGTGGGATGCGTCTAAATGCTCTTGGGAAGCTGGAGAAAGCAGCAGCCTGACCCTGACAGTTCCCCTTCCCCCCTGAGCAAGCTGTAATTCAGCAGAGACCCTGGGGCTGAGCCCTTCTTCCAGAGCTGGGCAAGCGCTGAGCTGGGGAATTCGGTCCCTGATCCCTGAGAGCTGCTTCTGTCCATTTAACTGCACCAGGCTCATATGATTTGGGGGAGCAGAGGGGGAGTAACCCTTCTCCCCAAGACCTGGCTGCTCCATAAGGCAACTGCTGTCCTTCCTCCAGCATCCTCCTCCAAGTCTCGTTTCTATAGTCAAGATTCAAAGGGCTCCAAGCTCCTTGCCCTTCCCAGGGATTCAGCTCTTGGCCATCCCTGGAAAAAGGGAGCCCTGCCTGGAGAGAGCTCTCAGCAGGGACTGAGCTGTCCACAGCAAGGAATGGGGTGGTGCTGAGCTCCTGGTGGACTCTGCTGCAAGCTGCAGGATGCTCCTGGGCATCCCACTGCCTACTGCCCGCTTTGCAGGTCCTCTGCTTGAGCACTGTGGATCCCAGGGTCCTTCAAGCCATTCCCTGGAGCTAGGAAAACACTTTCTCCTTTTCCATCTCCTTCTCTGCATCCATCTGTCCTGTGTACCACTGTCTTAGCTCCAGGCACCTCTCTCTGGACATGCCTTGTCCATTTCCCCACACTCCTACCTCTCTGTTTCCCCAGGCAGCATGTCTTCTTACATAAGTACTTGCACTCCTGCCATGGACCATGTGCTTCCCCTTGCACCCATCCATCTGTGCTTCTGGCCTCTGTGCTCCTGTGGTGACAGGCATCAGGTTCAGTGGGGCTGGGATATGATGGTGGATTTGAGATTGTTGCTGGGAGCTTGAGGGTGATTGGCTAGGTGCTTGGCTCAAAATTTCCCAGCCAAGCTGGCAGGAAAAGGCTGGTCCCTCTAGTTACTTCACTTGTGAGGACCAGCAGTGCCAGGAGGACACAGGAGATGCAGGGAGGGATCAGCCAGCAACAGGGATGGAGTCAGACCTGAGATGAGTCTCCTGCTCTGGGGTCTCTGGATTCTCCCAGGGGGAAACCCACACTCTCTGGGGAAGGCGAGCCAGGACAGTCTGTGCCCGAGAGCCTGTGCTGTGCGGCCGGGGCAGAAGAGCCCTGGAGGAGCGTGTGGAGGGTGTGCAGCCCTGGGAGATGCTGGGCTGCTGCTGGACACAGGCTGCTGGGGTGTCTGGGCTGTGCCAGCATGGCTGGAGAGGACTGCAGCCCAGCACTGTTGGGGCAACTCTGCCTGGCTGAGCTTGCTGTTGTGGACAGAGGGGTAGGGGGGAGAGGGGCAGTTCTGGCCCTGGGACCCCCCAGCCCTTGCAGCTGACCCTTTCCAGTGCCCCTTGTCTTTTCTCATCCTTTCCAATCCCAGCCTGCCCTGGTGTGTCACACTTCCAGGCAGTGGTCACGGTGTGGGGAGAGGAGCATCTCCCCTCCCAGTATGTTCTCAAAGGTAAACGAGCGGTCAGCATATTGCTTGCTCCGAGCTCATGGGTTTCCCTTTCCCTCCCAGCTCCTGCTCCAATGAGATCCTGGGTCTGAAGCTGCCATCAGAGCCAGTGCTCAACGCCAACCCGGGGTGCCTGACTCTGCCGGGGCTGACGCGGCGGCAGCTGGAGGTATGCGTGCGCCACCCCGACGTCACCGCCTCGGCCATCCAGGGCATTCAGATTGCCATCCACGAGTGCCAGCACCAGTTCCGGGACCAGCGCTGGAACTGCTCCAGCCTTGAGACCAAGAACAAGATCCCCTATGAGAGCATCATCTTCAGCAGAGGTGAGGGCTGGATGGCCTCTTTCCTCTTCCTCTCCCCCTGCCCAGTCGCTGCTCTCAGCATCTGTCATGGGCTCCCCACGGACCCCTGCACAGCTCTTGGTGCAGGGGACCAGGCCTGCTCTTCTGTGTCCTCATAGATGAAGACAGACAGAGCCTGAGAAACTTCAGGGTCTGCCAGACTGAGCAGCACTGCGCTCTGTGGATGCTGAGCTCTTCTTCATGCACTGTTGCACCTATGCTGGCCCTTGTCCTGAGCTGCTCCTCCCTGCCCAGCCCCAGCTGCTCCCAAGGCTCCTTCCAGGCCCCACCGCTTGCGTCTTCCCCCCATGCAGTGTGGGCTGGTGTTTGGAGCGGTGCCATGGGTGTGCAGCACAGTTGATGGGTCTGAAGGTAGATGCTGTGCTCTGGGATTTGGTTTGGTGGATGCAGTGAGCATCTTGGCTGGAATGGTGTTTCAGTGCATCATGGTGAGCAGAAAAGCCCCTAGCTAATGGGATGTAGTTCTGTGAGCCCATCACTCTGGCGTCGTGCCTTTGCGTTGCCTCCCCAGTGCAGAAAGCTGAGGGCTCTCTGTTTCGTGGGATCCTGGAGCATGGTGGCAAGGGGGAGACAGGGAGTCCTGGGAGCTCACCTGCACGTGGAGCCCCCACTGGCACTGTTGGAAGAGCTCTCCCAGCCCTCCATGGTCTGCCAAGCCCTGGTGCCAGGGTCTCCTCGTCTCCCTCGCAGGCATGGCCAGCTCTGCATCTATCAGAGCCTTTTCCCTCAGGAGCAGACTCTGGGGGTGCAGAGGGACTGCCCTGCACAGTGCAGACCAGAGTTGTGACCTGACGGGGCTTCTATAGGACTTCAATGTATCTTCTCACCTAAATACCCTTCTTGAAGCCTGGGCCTGGCACACACCGAAGGTCCTGTTGCCCCAGGCTGTGGGCAGGAGAGAACTGTGTGGTGCCAGTGGCAGGCAGTCAGGATGCTGAGGACAGGCAAGGTGCCCAGCAAACACATCGCTCCTCCAGCTCCTGAGGAAGGAGAAAGCTACCAAAGATGCTGCTCACCTACCCCCTTTGGGAGCCTCCTAGCCTGGTGCCCAGCAGAGAGATGCCTCTGTCTCTCCTTCTCCAAACATCCTTCCACACCCCGTAACATCTCTCCCTGGGACTGCGAGGAGAGTCTCACAGAGGAGAGGTTGACAGTTTGAGGCTTACATGCCTTTGAGAGGATGTGGTGGCAGGAGCACCCAGGCAGCTGTAGCAGGTGGGGAGATGGCTGGAGAGGGGATCACAGAAGCATTTCAGTGCTAGGAGGTCCCTCATGTCCCAGGCAGACGGGCAAGACCTTGCTGGAGGGGATCTACCTTGGAGCACGTGTGGCATCAGGGCTGCGATCCTGCTGTGGAGCAGCCGCTGGTGCCTGGAGAAGGGCAGCGTCTCTTCCCTCTGTGAGCAGAGCAGTGCCCAGGTTAGGGCCTGGCAGGGAGGGTGGGGACCATCAGCCCTGATAAGCATCGAGGTATTTCCAGGTCCTCTGAGGAATGCAGTTCACTTCTAGTCTCCTAGGGCGGCGGGAGACTGGCTCAAGTTGCTCACACACCCAGGCAAGCTTCCCTTCTTTGGGTCCCACAAGGCTGGCTGAGAAGCTCCAGCAGCAGAGGGCATTGACCTTCTGCATTCCTCCCTCAGCCCATCACATTTGGTGGTGGCCAGTGACTTGCAGCTCAGGTGCCACTGCAGCCTCTCCCACTGTCAGGGCCATGACCGATGGGTACAGACTCCCGCAGCCCCTGGGCTCTTGCCCCAGCCCTGAGCTCTTTGTTATAGCTCAGCCCAGGCTCCCAGCACCAGTGGGATCCCATCCCCTGGGATGGAGATCAAGCGCTGAGGAAGGATGGAGGTAGGGCTGGTGCAGCAGAGCAGATGGGCACCTCACAGCACTCCTCTTTGGGCAACAGAGAGTGCAGGATGAGCCTCAAGCACCCAGGCCATCCCGTGTGGTGGCTCAGAGCCCTTCTGGCGTGGGCCAAGCCTTGGGGCTGGTGCCCTGGCCTGCCTCCAGCCCACTTGTGTCCCTCAGTAATGGAGCTGGAGCTCTGTGCTCCACCTTGCAGCTGTTACGGACGCAGCCATCAGAGCAGGGATGCTGGGTGCATCGCCCAAGCCCAGCGCTAGAGGAGAGGGGAGCGGTGGAAGAGAAGCGAGGGGTGCAGGCTCCATGCCGCAGGCATTAATGCATCTCAGCCCCGGGGACCAGGTCTCTGCTCTGTGCCCTGCCCCATCCTTGCTGTGCCTGGGAAGGCAACGTACTCGTAGGATCGTTGTTTGTAACCCGAAGTGACAGACCCCTTTAATCTTTCATTCCTTTTCCCACTTCTTCTGCCATCAGTTCAGCCGTGCGTGAATCTCACTTTAAATTATTTGTAGCTGGCTTCTCCCTCCTGTTCTCCCCGCTCCGCTCCCCATCTCTGCCCCATCCTCCTGCATCTTCCGCGTCTTCCCCAGCGTGGATGCAAGCCACCCGGGGTGCAGCCCTGGTCCTTGCTGGCCACCCAGCATCCAGATGCTTGATGGAGCTGGAGGGCTTACATCCAGGGGACAGGGCTGGGGACAAGTGGCAAACAAGTGCCTGTATCCCCATCCTGCTGATCTCATCCCAGAAGTTTGAGTGCGAGTCCTGGGAAGCCTGGAAGGAGCAGGGAGGCTTCAAATTGGGCCAGGCTGGCAATCTGGCAGAGCTTCTGGGCAGCATAGCTGGGGACAGGGATCTTGGCAGGATCCTGGGCAGAGCACGGACCTGCTGGATGAGGCAGGGAGATGCAGCCAGCCCTGGGGTGCAGGGCACAGCAGCTGCGGGGCACAACAACAGGTTAATGGAGGGTGAGCAGAGGGGGTGCCCAGGGATTTACCATCCCTTCTCTCACAGAGCCTTTTTTTTTTCCAACACCCTCATGGGCTGTGGGGTTTTCCGGTTTTGTCTTTTTGGTGCTGCACCCTTGGGGTGTCCCTTGTACCCCTCACTGAGCCTTCAGTGCCATCTGCATCCCCCATCCTCCTTGGCCCATGTCCCCTCCATGTGCATCCAGGCTCAGCGTTGCTGTCGCGAATCATCCTCCTGTCCTCCCTACCTGCCTACATCCTTGCCACCCTCCTGCCCATTCCCTGGCACTGTCACCCCTGCCAGCATCCTCCAGTCCTGTCCCTGGTCCCACTCCTCTCTGCTCTCCCTCCCTCTCTCTCCAAATGCCAGCAGAGACCAGACACTTCCCCTCCTGGCCCCAGCGGCATATGTAGGAGGATGGAGCAGTGAGGTGGAGGCAGGTGGCTGCATCTGCACCAGCATCTGAGATAGGTCCCCTGCCCCTGCTCCAAGAGTGAGCAGCACGATTGTGTCCATGTCACTGGAGAGGGTAGTCGGTCGCCCCCAGTATGTTGTCCTCCTGTAGCATCGTCGGGATGCTGGTCACCATGTGGTTTGGCCGGGCTGAACCATGCCTGAATGCCTGCCAAAAAAAAAGCTGTGGATGGTGGTGGGTCACCCTGAGCCTTTGTCATTGTGTGGCACTCATGCACCCATGGATGGGTGCGATGCCAGCAGGGCTGGAACAGTCCGGCTGCCAGACAGGGTTTCCCTGAGGTGTGCTGAGGGATCTCTCTTCCCTGAGCATTCCCCTTCGCTCATCTCATCCCATCTATATGGAGATCTGACAGAAATTGGACCCCTCCTCTAAGAAGTTGGTGGGGCTGCTTGTCCTTGAAGGCTCCTGCGGGTGTGTGGCTGGAGGGGGCATGGCTCCAGAGTGCAGCATCCTGCTGTTCTTCGCGCAGCCTTTGGAGGGATGGGTGATGCTTGCATGCCCCATGCCATTCTTAGAAGGCTCCCTGGTGCCAAGGGGTCCATGTGGCCACAGCTAAGCCTTGATTTCGTACAGCAGGGAGGGGGGAACTCCCTGCAACGCTGGAAATGCCAGGTGCTGGGGCCCAGCCAGCTGCGAGCCTGAGCTTGGTGAGGCTTTACCGTGCAGGGAGGGAGGCAGGTGCTCTTATGGCTCTCCAGGGAGATGCTGCCAACCTCAGGACCCCAGCGCCTGGTTCTACAGAGCCCCAGCCAAGCTCTGGTGCCCGCAGACCGCCGCCCCTGGCCTTGTGCAGCTGCAGCTGGGCTTCTGGTAGGATTTTTGGTACCCCTAGGCAAGCTGAGAGCATTGCCCATCCATCCCCAAAGTGCATGTGGGTGCTTCAGATGCTCAGCTGCGTCCCTATGGATGCCCCATCCCCTGGACCTTCCTCCAACTGACGATCACAAGCGAGACCCTGGGCACAGGGCAGCGTCCCTGGAGGTGAGGGGCTGAGCCTGGCTCCCTGCAGCCCGCAGAGTGGCGAGGGCTGCCGGCTCGGAGTGCCGTGGGCAGACGGGGAGCGAGGGCTGCGGGCTGTCCCCGGCACGCTCAAGGAGGTGCAGAGAGGCAAGTTGGGATCTGCAGGGAGGCGTTTAGAGCCTGGCGCCGGGCCAGACCCTGGCAGGTTCACCTGCAGTTTAATTAGGGAGAGGGGAGGGGAGGGGAGGGAGTGGAGCTGGGGAAGAGGCGGCGTGTCGGGACTGGCCGTCTCCGCGGGCCTCGCGGGAGGTGGCAGGAGAAGTTCTCCTCCGCCTCCAGCCAGTGGGGCTGGGGCAACGTGCTGCTGGCATTATGGGGGGTGCTGCCCATGGAAGGGGCAGCTGAGCATCCCTGGGTACCCCGTGGTGTGCCTGGCCCAGGCTGTCCCACCTGCTCCCTCAATCCTACCCAGGTGTCGTGGTGACAGGTGCTAGGAGGGTATCACTGCCTGGGTGCGATGGTGAGCGTGGGAGGAAGGCCATGAGTCCAGCTGTCTCTGCCCCAGCAGACCATGGAGCCCACAGCCATGCCTGAGCCAGGTCTGTTGTCTTGGTCCTGCATTCACATGAGAGATGGAGAAACTGCAGCATCCGTGGCAGAGTGAGTGTTGGCTGGGGCTTTAACGGCCCCTCATCTCCTGGGGGCACCAGGACAGGGAAAATTTTGCCCTGCTGAGAAAGCTGCTTTGGGATCTGACCTGGGGCTGAGATTTCAGATCCATCCTCTTTGTCCAACACAGCCCTTTAAGTAGCAGGCTGGTTGCCGGTGGTAGTGTTGGGGTGGTGTCCTCCATTGCCTCTTCCCTGCAGGATGCAATACTTCCCCTCACACCTCCCACGGCTACAACCTCTTCTGCGATCTCTGGAGAGATCTGGTGACTCAAACATCACCACTGAGCTCTTAGGTGGCTGGGGCAGCTGAAGAGCCTCCCTCCGAAGGGTGCAGGGCCAGCTGCCGCACGCCGCGCTCGGCTGGGGGTCCCTGAAGTCGCCGAGCCCACAAGGCCAGTGGTTGTCGCCTGCAGCCATGTTGCTCGCTGCTTTGCTGCAATCCTTTTGGTTCTGGTGTGGCCACGGTAGAGCAAGGAATGTAAACTGAACCTCCAAGCAGAACCATGCAGGCATGGCTGCTGCAGCCCCGGTGATGCCCTGGCTCCCTCCTCCCTGTTGGTCACAGCTCCCCATGGCAGCAGGCAAGGGAAGGAAGGGAGAAGGCAGGAAGGAGTGGTCGGGCCAGGGAAGGCAATACTGAGCAGGGAAATGACCACGGTGAGATGGGCACAAGACTCCCAGAGTGCTGGGATGTCCCAACCTGAGGACCAGGCAGTCTCCTGTTCGCAGCCTGGGGGATGGCAGCACCAGGGACAAGGACCTGTGCCTCAGCCATCAGCTTGCATGGCTGGAGAGCAGCAGAGGAAGGAGGGGGAATGGTGCTTGACCCCAGGGATTTCCCAGCCATGGAGGGCACCAAACGAACCTGGCCTCTTTACTTGTAAGGAAACAGGCTTGCTAGACCGACTGGGTGGGGTAGAGCTTCTGTCTGGGCTGCAGAAGGGATTTTAAGGAGATGCCACATGGGAAATTATTCGTTAGACTGGAGAAATGTGTGAGAAGGAGGCTAACGGAAAGGCAGGGCCAAGGGGAAAGTGTCGTGCCAGGTGGAAGGTTTGTTGCCACTGTCCCTGGGCACCGGCTGCGTGAGGAGCTGGGGACACCGAGCAGGATGTCAGCGACAGGTCCCTGCTCTTGAACTGTGCCTGGGTTTGGCTAGTGAAGGGCTGGAGCTGGCCCAGGTTGTAGGGAAGGAGAACTGATATAGGAAGGATTGGAGGATCCTGGAGACCTTCCCAGGCTGCTTCTCCATCCTGCATCACTCACCTGGAGACTGAAGTTCCCCGCGTTCGGGCTGTCCCGCTCCAGCAGCGATGTGGGTGTGTTGCAGGCGCTGCCTGCCAGAGCTCTCCCTGGGGAGGCTGTGCGGCGTACGCACCAGCAGCCCCATTACCTGCCCGCTGAAAAATGTTGTTCAACTTGTGGATGGAAAGAGGCAGGCTGAGAGCAAGCTTGTCCCACACCGAGGGGAAGCTGGGAGAGGCTCCCGCTGGCTTTTAAGCAGTGCCTCGTTAATTTTTTAAATGCACCGGTGTCAAATTAACACACAAAAGAGCAGCCTGACTTTAAATGCAGGTTTCCGAGCTGCGTTTCATTTCCCTTTAATAAGATCATAGTGTTTGCTTGGCGGGCGGCAGCGAACCACGGAGGAGACGTGCGTGATGGGGAGCATCGCCAAGGACAGGCAACGGTGGCGGGGAGCACTTGTGCTCTCACCTCTCATGACTCCGCGATGCAGGCAGGCAGCTGGCAGATCCCCTGCCCAGAATCTGTGCTTTGGGGTGCTTGCCCAAGCTCCCTGTTTCATGGCATGAATCTGCTGGAGAAAACACCCCAAAAGCTCTCGTCTGCTCAGCTGTAGCAAAGCTGGGGCTGATCAAGCTGCTCTTGTCCAATGGAGGGAGAGAGCCAGGTGAACTCCAGCTATTTATTTATTCACGTGTGAAGCCACGGCACAAAATCTGGCTTGTTCTCTTTCTCCTCCTTGTGCTGGGGCCAGTCACTGTGCACTGAAGTGAAGGGCGTTGCCGGGACCCCAAAAGAAAAAGATTAATTTGTGTTTAAAAGAAAAGAGAAGTTTCCAGGTAGGGGAGGCTCGTC